TTTTGCTTCAATTCTCATAATTACTACATTTTGTTGATTCTAAGATGCACATTTTCCCCCACATTCACCGCCTCTGAAGCACTGTGTCAGCTCAATTGACAGTAGTGTTTTTCTTTTCCTTTCTCAGTAATGCACAAAATGATGATGCATCTAACAACTAATGGCATCTTGATTTAATAAAATACAGTGATTCTAGCTGGAATAGATGGGTCATATTCCATTATTCACATTTATATAGGCCCAACTCTCACTGCATTTAACACAAGCTGTGCACAATTTCTGGGGCCAAGAATCAAACTAGTAACAGTGATAAAGTGTAATATACTGAAGACAGGCTCAAGATGACTTGGATTTTTATTATTATGGTAATCTGGGGTGCTGAGGTTGCCTTAGTCTTATTACAGACTATTTCATTTTGGTGTTCAGGGTACTGAATTAAACAAGGCATAAGCTGGGCACAGTGATTCATGGCTGCAATCCCAGCACTTCGGGAGGCCAAGGTGGGCAGATTACTTGAGGCCAGGAGTTTGAGACCAGACAAGGCAACATGGTGAAATCCCATCTCTACTAAAAATATAAAAAATTAGCGGGATGTGGTGGTACATGCCTGTAATCCCAGCTAGTTGGAAAGCTGCTGCAGGAGAATCACTTGAACATGGGAGGCAGAGGCTGCAGTGAGCTGAGATCGCACTGCTGCACTCCACACAGGGCCATGGAGCGTGACTCTGCCTCCAAAGAACAACAACAACAAGAAGATATGAAATTATAGCTAATGTGAAATAAAGTCATTTATAAAGGACAGATGACACATAAAATGTCCTGTCCTACAGGCTTGAGTCCAACATGTAGGCTCCCTCTCAAGTGTGAAAGTTTATTTAAGTTTACGGGAGTTAAATAACAGAATTATATATGATTTTGTGTACATATAGATCGGGAAAGTAATATTACTTTCTTATTTATTTATTTATTTATTTATTTATTTATTTATTTTGAGACAGAGCCTTGCTCTGCTGCCCAGGCTGGAGTGCAGTGGCATGATCTCAGCTCACTGCAACTTTTACCTCCCGGGTTTAAGCAATTCTCCCACCTCAAGTAACTGGGATTATAAGGGTCCCCCACCACACCCAGCTAATTTTTTGTATTTTTAGTAGAGACGGGGTTTCACCATGTTGGCCAGGCTTGTCGAAGTAATATTACTTCAGAAGAGCAATTCATTAGACTGTCCAGCCTTGCAAATGTAGTTTGCTCAAGGCAGGTAACAATTTATGATGAGCATGTTGTAAAACTGCTAATTTCAAATATTTTATATGCTATGTGCCTTCAAAAATGACGATAAAATTTGCTGAGTTTGATATACTTAAATACTTGTTGAAGTACTGCACTTTAATCATTAGACATTTATCAAATAGGACTTATGTCAAATAAAACCTAAGCTTTAAAAATGTTAGACTACTTAAAGAAATTTTTTTGTTTGTTTGCTTTAGAGACAGGATCTTGCTCTGTAGCCCAGGATGGAGTGCAGTGGCACTATCATGGCTCACTGTAATCTTGAACTCCTGGGTGCAAGCAATTCTCCTGCCTCTGCCTCCCAAAGAATTGGGATTATAGGTATAAGCCACTATGCTTGGCCTAAAGAAGTTATTTAAATTCTGTCTTTCTCCCTCCTTCCCTCTCTGGGGGACACCTGGCTTTTTTTCTGGACCCCAGAAGAATATCTGGGAGTTTAAATGATGACATTTGAATACAGACCAAACATGTCTTTAGACTACCTAAAATGACACTATAACTTGAAGTTATACGAATTCAAAAACCTACTCAGAACATGGAAAACAATGGTCTCAATGTACTCAAGCTAATTAGCACTTGTTCAATCTTAAGTGCTGCATTAAAAAAGGGACAACGAGAACAGTTGCTTTCTGCCCTATTTCCTTATCTGCTGGCTCCTTTTTCTCAAGATAAAAACATGCTGAGATGACGGCCAAATTCCAAGGCTGACAATCAGTCCATACATTAGTTGCTGCTAAACTGGATTCTGTTAACCTTTTTCTTCTTGAGACTATTGAAGCTCCCCTTGGTCTCAATGGTCACTGCCTCTAAATCCTCTGGCTGCTTCCCCTGAGTCTCCATCAAAGACTTCTCTTTCTTGGCCTGTCTTTTGTTTTATTTTATTTTATTTTTGAGACAGAGTCTTGCTCTGTTGCCTAGGCTGGAGTGCACTGGCGTGATCTCAGCTCACTGCAATCTCTGCCTTCTGGGTTCAAGGGATTCTTGGTGCCTCAGCCTTCTGAGTAGCTGGGACTACAGGCATGTGCCATCAAGCCCAACTAATTTTTGTATTTTGAAGAAATGGGGTTTTGCTATGTTGCCCAGACTGGTCTCAAACTCCTGACCTCAGATGATCACCAGTCTCAGCCTCCTAAAGTGATGGAGTTACAGGCATGAGCCACCATGCCTGCCCACTTGGCCTGTCCTTCAAATGTTAATGTTCTCTATAGCAGCAGGAGTACCACTGACTCTTTTATTCTGACTGCAATGCAATTCCTCAACATCTACAACTTCCCTGATATGCAGGGGGATCCATCTTCCTCTCTAGCCTAGACCTGTTTTCTGAGCTCTAGATCTAAATATCTAATTGCCCACAGACACCTCAATCTCCATAGAAATCCATCATCATATACCCAAAGCAAACCACCTCCTCTTATAGTCCCATCTTGGGGAAAATAGTGATCACATACCCAGTGATCCAAGTGAAAACCCTGGACTCTCTTGACTCTCTGTTCATGTCCCTCTCTAACATTCAGCTGATCTCCAAGTCATGCTGATTCTTTCTCCTGGGTGTCTTTGAAATGTATTCCCTCCTCTACCAATGCTGGCATGGCACTTCCTCAGTTTAGGAATATTATCTCAAATGTACAATCTATTCTCAAATTATCTCAAATACCATAAGAAGCGGTCCAACTAGTCTTGCCTCCCAATTCCACCTACCCTCCATACTGGACCAGAGTAATCAAATATGCAGAAATATGCCATAATATTTCTAATTTCTGGCATTATTATTTATCAGCTAAAAATTTTAAGCATTCCCATCACTGATAAGATAAATCCAAAATCCTTTGTGTAGTCCCTGATGAGCTTGTTCTTGCCTACTTAATCTGCTGCTTTTTCTTTTTTTTTGAGACGGAGTCTTGCTCTGTCACACCAGGCTGGAGCTCACTGCAACCTCCCCCTCCGGGGTTCAAGTGATTCTCCTGCCTCAGCCTCCTGAGTAGCTGGGACTACAGGTGTGGACTACCATGCCCAGCTAATTTTTGTATTTTTAGTAGAGATGGGGTTTCACCATGTTGGCCAGGATGGTCTTGATCTCCTGACCTCATGATCTGCCTCACTTGGCCTCCCAAAGTGTTGGGATTACAGGCATGAGCCATGGCACCCGGCCAATCAGCTACTCTTAAAAGTAATTCTTCCTTGTTCATCCTATACTTCCTCCACTATGAACTACCTGCCATTCACCAGACACCTCTCCAATTGCCTAAGCATGAATAACAATTTGTTAGAAAGGAGTGAACTGTCAGTAAACTTAAATACCTTAAGCAAAGGCTGCTGTGGTTTCCAAAAGAGAGTCCGCACTTGGAGGTGATGGAAATAGATGGCCAGCAGAGGTGCAACACATACAGGAACATCACCAAAATGCTGGGATAACACACAACTGCAAGCACTGAATTATCTATTGGGTAGGGTGTAATGGTCTATTTGAAACTTAGTAGTTCCAAATTATTTTCGCATCTTTTACGGCTAAAATTGAGATCTTTGGTAAAAAAAAAATAACAATCCAACAAAAATTTGTTGAGGCTCTAACTTTAGATGCAAATATATATGTTTTGACAAGAGAGGGAAATATTTTAACTCCAAGGAAACACAGTTGATCAAATTTTGCTTTACTTTACTTTTATTATGTTAGCAGCAGGCCCTTCCTTGTGAGCGGCTGCTGTCTACTCAGGCCCAGTTCAAGGCCTGATTCCTCCAAGAAGCCTGATCTGTGGCTCTGCTCTCAGCTCAGGGCTCTCCCATTCCTCTGAGCAACCAGAGCCCTGGAAATCTGCCCCACCATGTACTGCTCTGAACGTACTACAGCATGCTCCATTTCCCTGTTTCCTGGGTAAATGCTGCTCATCTCATGAATCAAATCATAAGCTTCCTGGGAACATGGCTAGCGCTACTTTTACCTTGGTGCTCTGTAACTTGCATAATACCTAGCATATAGTCACCTGAATGGAATACAATGAAGAGGGGAATTAATAAATGAATAATTGTTGTAAAATTTCTCATTATTATTTCTAATCTCACCTGAAGTCTGACCCAAGATCTCTACCATTCTGTTTCACCTACAAGCAAATACAAGCAAGCAAGCAGGCAAGCAAGAAACAAATGCATTTTCTTGTTTTTCTTAGCAAAGCTTGACTTCTATCTCTAAGCCTCCATCATTAAATACATCTGAAGGAACCACTGCAACATTTAGGGGGACAAGAATGTATTTTATGTGTTTACAAGATGACATAAATTAATTAAATTTGAAAGTTTACTTGACCATTATTTTGATCCTCTGATTCACAATACTTTCAGTATAATGATTTGGAAGACCAATTAACATCAACTGAGTGTTCAATCGATCTGTGACAGGAGAAGGGTCCAGGGAAAGCCATTAAAATGTTCTTATGAATCAATCCCCTGCAAACTGGCAGAACCATAGCGGCTTTTCACGCTCATGCTCCTAAGGCCGCTGGCTTTGTACTGGCAAGCAGTACATGCCCCTCAGCTGACAGTGTTTTATGGATAATGCAGAAAGTGTGGCCCAGATAACAACAGCCATGACGTGAAACTTAACACTGAAAATACGCCAACAGTTCAGGGACATAAAACATGGTGACATGGTGTAAGTTTACTTTTTAGGGACTGAGGGAAACTGTTCAAGCAGGATCTGCTCCACACAGAGAACCACTTACCCAGGATTTGCTTGCTCCTTCACTCTGATCCAAGGCACCAGGAAGTGAACAATATTTTATATAAACACCAAGTTCTCACAAATCACATAACAACATTGAATTCTTAAACGAGTTAAAGTCAGTGCATTTATAGACTAACTAAAGAAAATACTTCTAAAAAACTACTCGTTTGAAAAAAGTGTAAGAATAGCTCTAAAGGATTTTTATCAGAAATTCCAACTTTGATATAGATACACAAGGATTTGATTAGTATTAATAAGATCAACTCTATAATATATATTGAAATATAAAAGTTTAGTTCAGGGAATATAACTTAGAAAGAAAACCTCAAGAGTGCAAATCAGAAAAGGAAAAACAGGTAATAGTAATCAGTAATTTTTAACAGATTAAGATGTATTGTAAGTGGGAAAAAACATTAGGTGTGGAAGATCTAGTACATTTTTTTATATTTATCATTGGACTGAATATATCCTAGAACACATTTCAGATATGTAGATCATATAAATGCATGATTTTTTTTTTTTAAACCAGGGGCTACTGTATAAATGACCTTAGAGAAGCATTAAGTGTTCAATTAGCCAAAATTACCCTTATAATGCTTACAACCAAGTTTGGTTTATTTTCACTCTTACCTTGACATTTTGGGGAAGAAAAGTAATAAAATCTAATACTGACTGCACTGCAGTGTTTTGGGGAAATTTCTGCAAACTGTGCTATCTCCATGACTAGCCGCCTCCCTGCCAGCCCTCCATCTTTTGGTCTTTCGTCTTACAGGGTTGGGAGTGTGCCACGTACATGCAAACCACCCTCTTGTCTACCTGAGACAGTGACTGTCGGAGCCGCGCCATCTGCGTGCTGTGGCCTTTACTGTGATCCTGCTCAGAAACCATTTGCTTCAGCTTCTCCTTCTCTATAGCTATGCTATTAAACGCAGACTTCAAAAGAGAATGCACTGGGTAGGGAGAAAAGTGAGAAGCAACTGTCAGACACGTGCAGAAAGAATACACAACATTATAAACTTCTGAAGACTTTCACTCACAAATGGACATTTTCTTGAAAGGCTATGTAATGTTCTTATTAAAAATCAGCCTTCAATAAGAATCTTTATCCACACAAATACTATAATGGCAATTGATCAGGGTGAAAATTTTGGTTTTTATACCAGACAGGCCAACAAAAATTTGGAAGTAGCATGTAAAATATCAATATCAATGCAAAGTATCAATATTTAGAAATTAATTTATAATCCCTAGAAGGAAAAGGGGAAAGTTTACTTACCATATTTGATTATCACAGTTGAGCAGTACTGTGTAGCATAAAGTCTTACATAAATCACTTAGCACTATTCAAAAATGATTTCCCAAAAGCATGCCCCCCAAAAAAGCATTTTATGTGTTCTGCCAACATAAAACAGGCAGCTGATATAGAAATTTTGGCTAGTTCTCTTGGAGGTAGGAAATGATATGCCCTTAAGAACAGCACTTGCATTGCTTTCTCAGCCAGGAATATCTTGCTGTTAAAGTGCTTTGATTTAAGAGCAACAATAAAAACAACACCCCTCCCCATTTCCTACATGCCTAACAAATTAGCATTATTAACATATGAGGCAGTCTTCAATTGTGAACTACAAAAAGGTTGACTTTTCAATATCTATTTTTATAATAACAGTTTTTATAATATGCAAAGTCTTCTAAAATAGGTATTTCCTTACTTGAGAAAGGTATTTATGAAAGTGGAAATTTTTAGCATAAAATACAGTGACTGAATTACAGGGGGAAGATGGCAGGTCACAAGGGACTCACGATCTACTGATTTATGTGCTACATTCTGTTGTCATCAATTTAAAGGTAATAACTTGATAGCTGGATTATGTTAACTCTGCTGGTAGCTCTCAAAGCAAGCTCTTCATCCCCTTTAAAATAATTCTCTCAAAAAAGTTCATGCAATAGTCATAGAAAAGTTCTTTTGTTTCTTTGCCTAGCATAAAGAATTTGTGTATCTGTTGAAAATATATAGTTTCAATAGGGGCTTAAAAATTTGTTATATTGTGTATATATTTAAAGTATGTAGTATGATGTTATAAGATACATATAAGTAGCAAAATGGTTAGCTTTAAAAAATGTATTGTGTATATATTTAAGGTATACAACATGATGTCATAAAATACATGTATGCAATAAAAGTTACTATGGTGGAACAAATTAACATATCTATCGTCTTATCCATTTTTCTCTCCCTGTGGCAAGAACAGCTACTATCTATTCATTTAGCAAAAATCCTGAATATAACACACCAATCATAACTGTAATCCTCACACTGTAGATTAGGTCTTTCCACTTGTCTGTCCTACATATTTGCTACTTTGTATCCTTTGACCTAACCCTCCCCTCTACCGCCACCCTGGTAACCACTGTTTTATTCTCTATCTCTATATATTTGACTTAAAAAATATATATTCCATATATAAGTGAGATCATGCAATTTTTTTTCTGGGTTTGGCTTTTTTTTTTTTTTTTTTTTCTTCTTCTTCTTCTTCTTTTTTTTTTTTTTTTTGAGACAGAGTTTCACCCGGTCACCGAGGATGGAATGCAGTGACGCAAACCACTCATTGCAACTTCCGCCTCCTGGCATTTGTGTGCCTCAGCTGGGATTACAGGCATGCACCACCAGCCTGGCTAATTTTTGTAATTTTAGTAGAGATGGGTTTTGCCATCTTAGCCAGACTGGTCTCAAACTCTTGGCCTCAAGCAACCTGCTCTCCTCGGCCTCCCAAAGTGCTGGGATTATAGGCATGAGCCACCATGCTTGGCCAAGGCTTGCTTATTTCACTTAGCATAATGTCCTTCAGGCCCATCCATGCTATGGCAACCGGCAGGATCGCTTCCTTTTCAAAGGCCGAATAATAATCCATTGTATATGTGTATACCACAGTTTCTGTATCCATTTGTCCACTGACAGATACCTGGGTGGTTTCCACATCTTGGCTATTGTGAATAATGCTGCAATGAACATGTGAGTGCAGATATCTTTACAATACCACCGTATTGTAAATTTCATTTCCTGTGAGTATATGCCCAGAAGAGGGACTGCTAGGTCATATAGTAGTTCTAGTTTTAATTTTTTTAAGAATCTCCGTACCGTTTTCCAGTGTATACAGCTGCACCAACTTATATTCCCAACAACGGTGTATAAAGGTTTCCTTTTCTCCACACCCTTGCCAACACTTGTCCCGTCTCTTTAGTAGCTATCCTAACAGGTGTGAGGTGGTGGCACATAGTAGTTTTGATTTGCATTTCCCTAATGATTGGTGATGGTGATCACCTTTTCATGTATTTGTTGGTCATCTTTATGTCATCTTTGGAGAAGTATCTACTCAGATCCTTTGTTCATTTAAAAATCAGGTTATATATATTTTTTAAAAATTTATTTATTTAATTTTTTTATGAGACAGGATCTCACTCTGTTGTCTAGTGTGGTGTGCAGTGGCCTGATTACAGCTCACTGTAACCTCTAACACCTGGGCTTAAGTGATCCGCCCACCTCAGCCTCTAGAGTAGCTAGGACTACAGGCACACATTACTATGCCTGGTTAATTTTTAAATTTTATTTTTTGTAGAGATGGAGTCTCACTATGTTGCTCATGCTGGTCTCAAATTCCTGGCCTCAAGTAAAGGTTACATATTTTCTTCCTATTGTGTTATATAAGTTCTTTATACATCCTGGATATTAACCCCTTATCTGATACATGGTTTGCAAATATTTTTTTCCCATTCTGTAGGTTATCTTTTTATTTTGTTGATTGTTTTCTTTTCTGTGCAGAAGCTTTTTTAAAAAAAAAAATTTGTACAAGCTCTTTAGTTTGATATTTTTCCATTTATTTATTTTTTATTTTTAGCCTGAATTTTTGGTGTTATATCTAAGAAATCCATCACTGAGAACAATGTCAAGGAACTTTTTCCTCTATGTCTTCTTGTAGGAGTTTCATAGTTCCAGGTCTTACATTTAGGTCTTTTATCTATTTTGAGCTCATTTTTGTGTGGTTTAAGTTAAGGATCCAATTTCATTCTTTTCAATGTGGAAATCTAGTTTCCTCAGCACCTTTTATTGAACAAATTATCCTTTTCTCAAACAAATTATCCTTTTCTCATTGTGTCTTTTTGGTTTGTGAGGCTAAAAACCTCCAGCTCTATCCATGTTCCGGCAAAACACATGATCTTGTTCTTTTTTATGGCTGCAAGTATGAACATTCTAGTAACCTAACTTTTTGATCAATGCGCATGGAATATCTTTCATTTATTTGTGCCCTCTTTAATTTTTTTCACCAATGTTTTTTATAGTTCTCAGTGTACAGGTCTTTCAACTCCTTGGTTAAATTTATTCCTAAGTATTTAATTTTATCATAAAGAGGACTGATCTTGATTTATTTTTCAGCTATGTTGTTATTTGTGTATAGAATAAGAGAGTTTTGTATGTTCATTGTATATCCTGCAACTTTAATGAATTCATTCATTAGCCCTAACAGTTTCTTGGTGGTGTCTTTGGGATTTTCTACACATAGGATCATGTCATCTGCAAATAGAGATCATTTTACTTCTTCCTTTCTGGTTTGGATAACTTTTATTTCTTTTTGTTGTCTAATTGCTCTTGATAGTACTTCCAGTACCATGTTGAACAGAAGTAGGAGAAGGACCACCTTGTCTTGTACCAGATCTTAGAGGAAAACCTTTCCATTTTTCCCCACTAAGTGATGTTAGCTGTGGGTTTTTCACAAATGGCCTTATGTTGAGAAACTTTCCTTCTATATCTAAACCATTAAGAGTTTTTTTTTTTTAAATCAAGAAATGGTATTGAATTTAGACAAATGGTTTTTCTGCAAATGATATGATTATGTGGTTTTTGTCTTTCAGTCGGGTAATGTGATGCATCATTCAACAGAAGCTTTAAAACTCTGTCGATACTTGAATTTCCTGGAAGCTTCAGGATTGCAACCAAATACACAAAGTTTTCCTGTGGCTGCCTTCCAAAGTAGCATCCCCCCTTAGCAGCTGTGCCATACGCATACTCAACTCACACTCTACCTTTTGTACCTTTTGTGGTCACACTCTACCTTTTGTACCCTTTTCCCCACAATAGAAGTTACCAGCTATAAATCTATGCTGTTACATAAACAAATTAATAGTGCTCTAGTCTACTATCATAATTAACATCCTGCTAAGAAATGCAATGGACATACACCAGGAGTAAAATGGCAGGTAAGAGAGCGTTGGCCTTGCAGAAGAATCTCAACTGAGAAATCGAAGGGGTTTAGCTTAATTGTTTTTAGAGTTGTGGAATTAATGAAATCTGATAGCGCATTTTCACTGATGGTTTGAGATTGCAAATTTTGGCTGATTCCAGAGAGCTCCTCAGTGTGCCGCCTTCTTTTCCACCAGACTCTTGAGTCTCAGGGGAGCACCTGAGATGTTCCATTTAACGTATTTGTGTCTAAAAGCAACACAACGCTTGTGTCTTTCTAGAATATTTCAAAAGACAATGCCTGAGAAGACACTATCTAAGAAGATACTATCTTAAGAAAGAATTTGAGTGGCTGAAAGTCCAATACTATGGCAGTAAAGGCAGCCTTGACTCCTCGACTCTTCTTGTTAAACACTGACCGGAGTGCTCAGTCCATCTACTCTCCACTATCCCGCTTATTTACCATACCCTACTGTCTATGGCTGATGATAACAATTTAATTCACACAAGAAGCCTCATTGAAAATTTAACATAAAGAAGAGACTCAAATATGGGATCAATTTTCCCCCAAATCTGAGCTGGCATATGGTGCTTTGACCAACGGAATACCGTGGAAGTAGAGCGCTGTACCACTGCCAGAGCTGGCCTTGAAGAGGACAAGCAGCTTCCACTGCCAGGCTTTTGGAGCCCTAAACCGCCATGGAGAGGAGGGGGGCACAGTTGTTGCAGCCTTCCAGCCATCCTGCCAACATGCTAGGCACAGGAGGGAAGCCACTTTTGGTCTTTCAGCCCAGCTCAGTCTGTGGCCAAATCCTAGTGACTGGGCGTAACCAAGGACATGGCACAGAGGCTTCGCTGCTTAGCTGAGCCCTGCCTGAATTCCCGATCAACAAATTGTAAAGTCCAATAAATGAGTGTTGTTTAATATAAAAAGAAATATTCAAACAGATTCTAAAGAGAACCAATAAATATGTATTAAATGATAACTAAGGGACATTCAAAAAAATATTGAGTAGCACTATCTTGCCGGATTGCGTACGATAACTTTTTTATCCCTCACCCCCACGGCACTTTTTTTCTTTAGTCAAAACTGTAAATCTGTGACGTATGATCTTCTAACAGGCAAGCATCATGTCCTATTGTATTTTTGTATATAGAATTTCAACAACTGTATCAAACCATTCAATCTTTCTACCATTACCACAAAGACAAAGATAAAAGAACAAAGGATCATCTTTCATCAAAGAAGAGAGCTTCTTTAAAGGGCACATTATTTTTGTTGTTACCTTTCTGTGCGATTAGACAAAATTCTTCCTGCAGCTTCGTATAATCTGTTGAACTCTCCAGAGGGTCAGTGAGGTGGCTAGGGGGAGTCTGAAAATCAATATCTGCACAAAGGTTGGGGTTGGAGGAATGCAAGCGAACTGGTGACATGGTAGCACTGAAAGGAACCTGAAAGGGGAAGATACAAATTATTAAAGAGCAACAGTGTACTGTTCCACATTCTCCTACACAAAAAAGACCTCTCCCATTCTCCAAAACAATTGATTCCTCTCTGATGACATACATGGAGACACTCAGTACTCATTTATTTTGCAGGCGGTTGGAGTGGGAAGAGGGAGTCTCATTTCCCATTGTTGATTCAGAACTGCCACAGACTCACGGGTTTTTCACTGTTACAGAGAGAGACAACTATATAGAATGACAGGAAGAAAAGACATAATCTCAGGCAAGCTTAAACTCTGAACTCATACTTGCACCTCAAAAATAACTGGCAGAAAAACAGCAGTCTGAACTGTGATGTAGCTGACCTTCTCTTATGGTCTGGACTATCTGAGCCTAGAGCAGGATCTTACTAAACCTGTAAAAATTCAAAGATGCATATACTGGAAGATTCATGTAGCCATTAAATAAAACACAAATCAGCCTTAATAGTAAATACAGTAATGGCTTAAAGAGGTTCACACTTATTTTAGAAATTGACTTATTAAAATTTATATTAGTAAATGAAATATATATAAATCACTGTGGTTTACCTTTGTATGTAACTTATATGCAACTCTATTACATATATGTACCTGGCTCATGAACTGGCCAATAGTGAGAAGCAGTAAGTAGAAAAAGTCATATTACTATAGATTTTTCCACATGGCTAGAGGTACTTCCTTGCCCAGGCTGGATATGGACTAGGCTCCTGATGGGTAGCGGCAAAGCACCTTTTCCTCCCCTTTAAGAAGGCTTTACCTGAACATTACGAATGTCAGCCAAACATTCCTGGAAAAGGAAAATACCAATTCCTCTTGCAAATCAGATCACCAACTTCTCCCTAATTCTTACTGCACAGATGTGCATTCAATTGTCTTCAAGAACCAGACGTTTACACTCCACTACAGGTTGAAATTTTGTGTAACTGAAAGGATAATCCACACCCGCTAGCTAACAGGGAATGTGCTGTGGGAGGAAGGAACCATCATCCTCTGATGGATATGTACGTCAGGACTTCTTCTTTTTAATTTTTTTTTTTTTTTTTTTTTTTTTTTTTTTTTTTTTGCTTTGAACTTCCTAACATATTTGGTGAGAGAAAGAGGGAAGAAGAGGGCACTTTCCCTCTGAGGATTTAGAGGAGGTTTGGAAGAGACAGAAAGAACCAAAATATCTGGCCTGAGTGGCAGGTTGAGGGCAGTTGAGACAGCATCCTTCTGATACAGCATTGTCCTGACAGGGAGTTATTTCTCTTAAAAGATATCCAAGACTTACTGGGGAAAGAAGTGAGCATGAAGCTTCCCCCCAAAATTCAGCTAAACTAAGCATGTTAATATATGTAATTTAAAGCATTTGGTATCTGGAGTTATCAAAGAAACTCTACCACATCTTTTTTGGGAAACCTGGCTACACTGGGCTGGGAGATGTCAACAGCTTATCAATATATCAGGCTCAAAAATTCTGGCTATTTTAGATTTGAGACCCAGAAGTGGCCAATAAGCCATTGAGAAAATGGAGTACCACGGTTCAATACCTTGCTGGAATCCTGTCCAGTTAACTTTATAATAATGAGGATTGAGGACCGTTTAGGATACCTATAAAGGAATGGTATTTATGTGGCAGAATGTCACAAGATAGACAAAGGAAATTCTTTTTTTTTTTTTCAGATGGAGTCTCACTCTGTTGCCTAGGCTGGAGTGCAGTGGTGTGATCTCGGCTCACTGCAACCTCCACTTCCTGGATTCAAGTGATTCTCCTGTGTCAGCCTCCTGAGTAGCTGGAGTTGCAGACATGTGCCCCAACACCTGGCTAATTTTTGTATTTTTAGTAGAGATGGGGTTTCACCATGTTGGCAAGGCTGGTCTCAAACTCCTGACCTTGTGATCTGCCCACCTCGGCCTCCCAAAATGCTGGGATTACAGGCATGAGCCAACATACCTGGCGAGAAAATAAATTCTTTGTTATTCTTTTTCTTTTTTAATACTTTAAGTTCTGGGGTACATGTGCAGGTCGTGCAGGATTGTTACATAGGTATACACATGCCATGGTGGTTTGCTGCATCCATCCCCCTATCACCTATATTAGATATTTCTTCAAATGTTATCCCTCCCCAATCCTCCCACCCCCTGCTATCCTAAATTCTTACCCTAATTGTGGTGATGCTAAATCTACAAAGAGCAGTCAGCCTGCTGAGGGAAACAGAATCCATGGAGAAGTTGCTGGAGATTAGGATGTCATGGGAAGAGACTGTGAGTGAAAAAAAATAGGTAGATTTGGGAGTTTTGGGAATTTAATGACCCAGTTTCTGATATGAGGAACTAGAACAGCATTAAGAAAAATAAGTGTGGGTGTTTGGTAATGATGTTGAGGATCATGGAAAAGGATATTATCTGCATTCAGGTGCTCTCAACATTCCAAGGACTTACATGGTGTGGAAGAGGAGTCTCTTCCTTGAGCGGGTAAGGAGTGGGGTCGTGAGAGTGGGCGGGGAGCTTGTATGCAAGGCCATTACGCAGTGAAAACCCAGACAGCCCAGGAAGGACCCAGACTTGTCCCTGAGATAAATTATTATCTCTCTACTAAATGTTGGAGTCAGATGCTGAGAAGAAAAACATAAGTTACAAATTTATATTTTGAACATAATGGAAACTTAAATTGGCTATTAAAACAGTAAAAGTGGTTTTGTATATTACCCATAGGGAAAGAGAGAGACTTGAATGTCCCATTCAAATTGCAATCAGATGGCTCCCTAGGAAATTGAGAACTAATTTTCATATACTTCTGACTGAAAATGTTTATATATTGGTATCTTTTTTTGTCAAAAAGAGGTATATGGAATGGATCATTTTAATTGAGGACTTCATGAAATGAAATTGAGAATACAAATTGGGATCCATTAATCTAACCCTAATTGAATATCTGTTCAGCCTGGGGACTTATTTACTCAGCTTTTTATTCATCAATTTGGATATTATAAGATTTAAAAATCTAAGTGGTAACTGGTTTCTCCGTCAGTGATGGTTGGAATGGGAGATGCCTACAGCTCTCCATGTTTATATCTGAGAACCCTCAACACTGAATTTGGCCTTTCTACCCTGCGCAGGAAAGAAATTGAAGGCTTTATTGAAGTCCTGTGACAGGAAGGAAGCCTGATCCTAGAATATTCTGGTAGTAAGAACTGAAGGTTGGAATGGGGGACATTAGGAGATGCTCTTAACACCTGTCCATGAAAAGTCAAAAACAAAATGAGTTGGACAATGGAGTTGCTGGCAGTGAAATTTGGCAATGGTAGACATGAAAGTATACACAGCAGGTCTAAGATAGATACTATGCTAATAGGACTCATTGAGCCAGTAGGAAACGTCTCCTGCTGTTGCTATTCTGCACTATATGTACAGGGATTCTTTGGGGGTAGTGACTGCATTGGGATCCTCAGTGTTCTTCCATGGGGAAGAGCCAGTATTTCTCTTTTTCCAGTCTCCCATTCTGTTGGGTCTGGCTGCTGTTGTGAGTTGGCTATTCTGAGTGGCAGTATTAAGAGTCATCAAGAATAAATTTCTGAAACATCTGCTAGATGTTGCTGTGTTCTGGTATGGAGACAAGGCTATAGATCCTGGAGAAGCCAGTCTCCCTAGCTATTCCTGAATACATTATTAAATGTTGCCAGTAGCTTTTCTTACTGCATGCCACTAAGTTTTTCTCATAACCTCTATAGTCACAGCTACCCTGGGAGGTGGGTATTAATGATTTCTTCTTTTAAAAGCTTTTTCTATTCTACTCCTACTGTTAAAAATATAAACCGATTCTATTCAAACAGATACTAATCTCAGTTTCACTGCATGTATCTGCAATTTAAAAAATGAACACAAAAGAGACAGAATCACTTCTTTGCATGCCATCTTAGATGCATATTGCTTAAGGAAACAGTGTTTTCATAAAATGATGGACTGTTCCTTTCCATACTGAGGTGTTGTTCTCTAATAACAATGTGGATTTCTTATTTTTATAAATGGAAAATTACCTTTAATAATATTTAACTGATTATACATGAATCTATTGTCAGAATCTGTTACCACATCAGTGTCACGGGCTTTATTCATCTGCATTTGAATACATGCAAAAGATATACACGGACCATGAAAGCTATTTCAATAATTTGTTTGTTCAAATATTTACAAAACTGTGAGCTTAAGAGTCAGTTCCCTAATAAATTCCAAGTCACTGGTTCATTTCATAATCAAAAGCAATTTTGTTTCTCAGTCTAGCTAAAAACCCAGATATAAGGCAAGAGCCAATTACTAATCATAAAGTAGAAAGCCACCAATCCTCACACCAGCATCCATTCTCCTGCAATGCAGCCAAAACTTTTTCATATATTTGCAGCAATTCTAGTCTTAAAATACATTCCACCCTTAATGACAGCAAGACTATTGTTAATTAAGGAAATATTATCTAATAGCCAAAAAACTAACATCTATGAGTGCTATGAACTCAATAATATAGATTTTAAGAAGTTCAGAGGATCTCATGATTAAACAAATATGATAACTGACTTTTATCCAGCAAGGAGTTCTTGTGTTTTGATACTCTATTTTATATTCTGTATGGACAAGTCTTTCACTATCCACTTGCCTTATCTACCTCAATATGTTCTCTACTCTCCTTATATCCATTCTATTTTCTCTTAGAAAAAAAAAACAAACCTCTAGATATGGGTTAAATACCATTAAACTGTCTTTTTCTGGTCACTTCCACACTATAGTTTCTAATTTTCACATTAATATTCTTTTCAGAAAACAATTTTCCCTTGCTAAGTTTAACTTGGGTAGCCATTTAGAGATGACAGCAAAATTCACCTTTTCTTACCCTCTCATTTCTTTATTCTCACATCCTTTTCAAATAGTCACACTGCTACAAAAAAAAGCACAATTTTTGTCTGTAGTAACATGACTTTTCTTAGGAAAAGAGAAATCAGTTAGCAAAAGTTCCAACATCAGTATGGTAAAAAATCAAAAAACAAAAAACTAGTATCATTTAAGGAAAGCTCACATCATGGGGCACTGTACTCAATTCTGTAAATTTGACTTAAATTATGTCTTCATGGATAGTAAAAGAACTAGATTACATAATAGTTCTCCATTGTAAAAAGGAATACCCGTGTTCGACTCCTGCCATGCAAAGACAGCCAGAGAACATGCGAAAGCTATGTTCCCATGAATGGGCTACAGGTGACGCCATCATACACCAGTGGCACCATCAGAACAGGGGGTCACCCTTGTACACAGGTTCTCATTCTTATTAAACTTCCACTTGAGATTGAAATCCACTCACTGTTGTAGCCACCGCTGCCGCTAGCCTCTGCCGGCGCCGAGTTGTGCTGAACTGGCCTTTCGCAGGTGGCCCTTCCTGACAGTGAATGGGAGAAGAGAAGGGGGGAGAAAATAAAGGAGAGGGGAGGAAAGGATGGAAGATGGGAGGATGAAAAATAATCAGACAAGGAGAGGGAGAGTTTTTAACTGAAGTCGACTTTTCTTAAATCAGCATCGAAAAGAGGTCACAGGGGCATTCATACTATGAGAAATGTTCATCATTCTCATTGCAGATTATCCAAACACCTGAATTCTATTTGCTGACCACACCCCCAAAGATGGAATTATAAACTGGTGGACAGCCTGTGATTTTAAGGTCAAATAAATACACACACAGTTTTATTCAAATGATATTATGTTATACGAAGTCAAAAGGTATTCATATAAATGGTAGCAAGGAAAAAGTAAGTTCAGGAAAAACTGATTAAATAATGTGAGAAAGCTAAAATGAACAGGCTGTAATGAGAGCCTCCTAATGGCCAGATACAATTTTTTTTTTTTTTTAATTTCTTACTGGAAGAAAAAAAATAAGGGGAAGCATATGAGGGTTCTTCAACTTTCTACTTAATCTCCTATTATACAGCTCACTATCTGGGACTCCACATCAGCAATCACGTTGGGATTTTCAAGTCAAAGAATTTTCCAAGGAAGACGCCAGACCCCATAAGATCAGAAAAGAAAACTTAAGTTCCTCAGTGGGTGAGCACAATGCCTGTAAAAATCAACAATGAAAACCTGAAAGCATAGTTTTCTTTTCTTTTCCTTTTTCTTTCTTTTTTTTTTTTTTTTTTTTTTTTTTTTCACGGAGTCTCACTCTGTCACCCAGGGTAGAGTGCAAGCTTGCATGATCTCAGCTCACTGCAACCTCTGCCTCCCGGGTTCAAATGATTCTACTGCCTCAGCCTCCTGAGTAGCTAGGATTACAGGTGCCCACCACCATGCCTGGCTAATTTTTGTATTTTTAGTAGAGACAGGTTTTCACCATGTTACTCAGGTTGTCTTCATCTCTTGACCTCGTGATCCTCCCGCCTTGGTTTCTCAAAGTGCTAGGATTACAGGCATGAGGCACCATGCCCAGGATAGTTTCCATTTAGTAATCTGCACCTATGCATAAACCAGAAGAATCCTACCACTTTCTTTCATTTCATTTTCTTCCTCTTGGTGGATGGGATTAAGGGATCATGATATTTCCTTTTAATCATTCAACTTTGCCTTCATCTGACAGACCCTGATTCCTCAAGGTTGTGAGCAATAATTTTTTTTTTTCTTTCTTTTTTGAGATAAGGTCTCACTCTGTTGCCCAAGCTGGAGTACTGTGGCATGATCATGCTCACTGCAGCCTTGAACTCCTGGCCTCAAGTGACCTTCCCTCCTTGGCTTTCCAAAGTGCTGGGATTACAAGCATGAGCCACCTTGCCTGGCCATGAGCAATAATTTTATTTCCAAATAATTAAGATATACTTTCTTAGAATCTCCTAACAGCCCAAATTGAAGAAACAGTAGGTCTGCTTTAGTCTTTTTGGGATGGCAGAAAAATATTTTAAATTTTTCCATCTCTAAATCTTTAAAAAATTTCCAAAAGTACAATCTTATTTGTTTTCCATCTTTACAAATCTTCTGCTTACATATACGTATATGTTTGTCATAAACACACATACATACATAATCTGTTTTCCACAGAAAAATTTACTAGACAAAATCCTTTCTACTTAAGGTAGTAAAAGGAGGAAGAAGTTATTTTTGCCTTTCAGTGTAATTTGAGCATCTGTGAGATGCAGGACAGCTACACATGAGCAACATCAGATCATCTGTCTGCTACTATACACTTTCTACTATTCCTCATTCCCTTCAATGTCCAGGGATCTAGTATTTAATTCATATTATCAGCAACACAGGAGATCTAACAGCTCTTTCTTTTAAAATCATTTCCTTCTTGCCTTCCTCTTACTTCATTTAAAACACAGCCAAACTGTTACTGCATAATGGTACTGAGATTTTTATTCAAACCAGAAAGTTTAAGTTTATGAGGCAAGAAGAATCCTTTTTTTAAAAGGTAATCTCCACAGAACCTTCTAGGACAAATGTTGACTTCATGAGTTACATTATACGGAATTCTGAGGCCAACTCCCCAGTAGCTTCCAGTAGAAACATGGCCATACTGGTCTAGAACTTAGCCTTTTCATTTAAATCAATAGCACAATCTAACTGACACAAGAATAAATAATCAAACACCCAGTATAACATGTTTTTCATTTTTACTTTCTTGTGGTCAATTTTTTAAAATGATTTCTTTTATAATTTTTTCAAAATGACAACTACTATAGAATACGGAATACAGTGATCAGTGACACAACGTCAACAACAACAGCAGCAACAATCACCAAAACCACCACCACTGGATGGTCTGGGCACCATCACAATGGCTATTGCACTTAGTTACAAAGAGGAGAGGGGACAGAAAATGAAGTCTCACCACTTGAGACCCTCTCACATTGGCTGCAACGTGGCTGCATCATCAGCGAAAGTGGTTTGAGTGGTGAGATGAGCCACGACTCAAAACAAATAGCTGGCATCATTAGAATTCTCATGATCGAAACATTGAAAACAGAAGGGGAAAAAGCTGGGTATGAGGTAGGAGAAAGTGGTGGGTATCTTTAATTCACTAGAGTAAAATTAAATGCTATGCCTCCCTCTAGGCAACATACTGATGAGTAAAGATTTTCATGTTGTCATAGTCATCCTAGATAAACTTAGGATTCCTCAGCCAAGTGTGAATTTTGAAGGATCTTGGAGGAACTTCCCAGTAATAGAAAATGAGTATCCGGAGGCTCCTGTTGGTTTGGGAAAGCAGAAAGGGTCCAGGGATAGGATCAAATTCTGTAGCATTCTCCTTAAGATACCTTTTGTTTAGCCCTGGTGGAATTGGAGTTTTTTTGGGGGAATGATTAACAGCTTACTGCCATCCCTAAGTCTATTTGCTTCTTCTCGGAATTGGAACTAAATCTCCCACTTCAAAAAGGCAAAGTTGTCTTTGAGTGTGTTTGAGGGGAGAGATGATTTCAATTTCCCTCAAAAACAACTAAACTGGAATTACAAAGGCCATTTTATTGCTCTTTAGCAAAATGTCATAAATAAAAATTTAAAAACAAACGAACCACCCAAAGATGTGGCGGGAGTATGAATGAATATTTTCTAGCTTTTTGGACATTTTCTTCTGATGACTCAAAAAAATCTTCGTAACTTCTCTGCATATTTAAAACCACAGCCTGAGGCTAGGTGGTATAGCCCCAGTTGCATTCTGTGTCTTTGGGGAAAAAACTGAGTGATCTGGGGATTCTAGTGGTGCTAGATGCAGCAAGGTGGCTGGGACATTGCACTACAAATCACTGAGAACCTACCTGTCCAAGACAACAGCTGTGAACGAGAATGTGGTCAACAGCATACGCTATAGACACAAGGTTAAAACGATATCTATTCACAAATATATCTGTTCTTGTGACGTAGGCCTTCTTCAATTGTTTTAGAGGAATTATTCTTTTTTTTTTTTTTCTTTTGAGATGGAGTTTCGCTCTTGTTGTCCAAGCTGGAGTGCAGTGGCGCAATCTGGGCTCACTGCAACCTCCGCCTCCCGGGTTCAAGCGATTCTCCTACCTCAGCCTCCTAAGTAGCTGGGATTACAGGGGACTGCCACCACGCCCGGCTAATTTTTGTACTTTTAGTAGAGACAGGGTTTGTCAGGCTGGTCTTGAACTCCTGATCTCAGGTGATCTGTCTGCTTTGACTTCCCAAAGTGCTAGGATTACAGGCGTGAGCCACCATATCCGGCCAAATGATTCTTTTACTTATAAAAATAATTATTTTTCTTGGCTTTGATTCACAGACACCATGCTTAAAACAAACAAACAAACAAACAAACCTAGACACTGACAAGTTCAAAACAAGTAAGACTGTCAAAAGCAATTTTAAGTAACATTCTTGTAAAATCACTTGGCACATCTGTCCCTACAGTATTAATTTTATGAACAGAAGGGAAAACACACAGAAACGTACTGAACAAAGGAACACAAAAATTTGTGTTCATTGAATGTGGACATTCTAAATAAAAAAGCATGGGTATTCGTGCTTATGAAAATTTATTTTCAAATACATCAGATTAGCAAGCAAAGCAACAGTTGGTTATTTACACAATCAGAATCATAATACAAAGAATGTTATTAATAACATCAAAATTAGAGAAGAATTGTTTTGTTAATTATTCAGAAGGGACTGAAGAATTTTGAAAAGTAGTTCTTTCTACCTTTGTATTAGAATATAAATTTATTTGTAGTATGATTTTAAAAGGCCAAATCATAAAGTCTAATCTTGACTGTGCAGGATAAGGGCCATCTATAATATGCAGCTAGGATGAACATAATGGAGATTCTAGTTTAAAGATCTGAAAGTAATATGGTTTATGGCATAATTTACCATATTTTGAATCACTGAAATGCAATAATATAAAAATATCTTACTTTAAAAACTTTACTTATTTCAAATGTGTATTTTATTTCAAATAAATTCAAGTACATTTATTATAAGCTATTAAGAACTTAGTTCAGGCTTTAAAGTTATTGCTGAAAGCCAAATAATATCTATTTTTGTAGGATCATAAACTTTTAGAGTTGAAAGAGAATTCAGAGCTTATTAAATAAATTATATCACTTTACCCAGGAGCTAATGGAAGCTTAGGAAATTTAATAAAAAAGTACAAAATTATACTGCCAGAAAACCACAGTGATTAGAATAGAATCCGAGTTTGTTGGTTTCTCATCTATTGAACCACCTACCCTTTTTCTTGATAGAAAAAATTTGGACAAAGCGGACACATAAAGAACTCTTTTAAAATCTAGTATTTTTAAATGAATGTTCATTATAACCCACTAGATTTTTAGTTTAGATTTTAAGGTAACTTTTTGTTAAAATATATTTTAATGGTTCAAAGGCTATAATTGAGAATAAAAATTTTGAACCCATATTGTATAATTTTAACCTTTCTTTTAAATCTTTCTCACTTATCCCAGAATAATAAAAATATAGAGATTTCCCACTATTTTAGGTAATGTAACAGTTTGAAAAGTGCTGGCTTTAAAGCAGTTCAGCTGTTCTTTCAATCTAACTCCCATAAACTGATATATAAAGATGAGTACTTTAAAAGTATATAAAAATATGAATGAAAGAAAAGTAAAATCTGTACCTGCAGTTGTATTTTTGTATCTTTGCTGACACTTTTTGTTCTCCATCGTCTTGTGACCCGCTTGTCTTTCTTTGAAATATCTACACAGTTAGCCTACATTACACAAACAGTTAAAAGCAAGAAAGTATTATTAAGTTCACACAGATGATACAGGTATAGACAAGAGCACAGTAAGTTAGTAATAGATCATTGTTAGAGCCTAGAAGCAAACCAGCCAGGAGAGAAAGGCATATCAGACGCACAGTGGGCATTAAAAGCAGAGATAAGAACTTAATTATAAAATATATTTTTCTGATACACAAAATGAATACAGGATTAGAAATCTCTAGCTTTGTTTTCCATATGAAAAGACAGTAATAATTCTGAGAGTATCTTCAAAGCTACCATTTCTAATGAAACACAAACACGGAAGAATAATTCAGATACTGAATGTATTTCTTCCAGTTAGTGTGTATTTAAATGTAAAGCATTTTAAAATAATGATCTTAACACATTGACACTGAGATTCAAAAACATTAAAAACTCCAGAATACAAATGAATGTCTGTATTGAAGTTATTTATCTTTAAATAATATCTTACGTATTCATAGAATATCCCAATAAACATTATAAATTAATATCCTAAGTCTTTTTACCAGCAGCGGGAATACGTTTACCTGCATGTCAGTAAAGTTAGGTGCTGACTGAGTTCTCTGAAGTATTTCCAAATTTTGCAGGAGTTTGCTAAGTTCCACAAGGTTTGACTGGCAATGTGCAAGATCTAATAAGAAATCAGAAATAAAAATTTGTTAGAATTGGGTAGGGGGCAGTGGTGATGGTAACAAATGAGTCAATGCAAATTATGGCAAGTGTGAGTAGGCAGGTCCAGGTTTATATGATGAAGATACTGGCAGGTGAAACAAAACAGACCCTTCTCTGGTGTAGAACCAAAAACCATTGATTATATTTCAAAGCACACGCTTACAAATTAACAGCTATTAGTGTAGAAACCATGAAACTCTCAGTCACATTGTATGTGATCCCTTTTCTGCTCTGATAGCCTTTGCCACATGGGAAGCAAACTCAGGTGAACTTCAGCAGGCCTGTGGTTTCACTGTTAGGAGCCTGTCTACCTGCTCCTCTAAAATGCATTAGAAGGTGGTACCTGGAATTTGGGTAGAGTTAAAATCAAGTTCAGAAAAATAGGATGGAATACAAAATCAGTTAAACATATTTTCTATAATTTAGCTCACTAGCAATGTTGAACTGAATGATTTAAAAATTTCTTAGAGACATTATTTTAACCTAATCAGATTTTCAAAGTGCATTTGCTGGTCCAGCAACATCATCATCACCTGGACATCAACTCATTCTGTCTGAATTAATATTTAGAAAGCAGAAATGACTTTTAGTTTTCTTTTAAATTTTTTTGGTGCATGTAGAACAAGAGAATATTTAAAGATGTGTATAATAAAATATCACTCTTTAAAAAAACTGATCTTTAATATGTGAAATTAAACATAATCAAGAATAATAGGCTGGGCCAGTAGCTCACGCCTGGAATCCCAGCACTTTGGGAGGCTGAGGCAAGTGGATCATTTGAAGTCAGGAGTTCAAGACCAGCCTGGCCAACATGGTGAAACCCTGCCTCTACAAAAATGCAAAGATTAGCCAGGCATGATGTGGGTGCCTGTAATCCCGGCTACTTGGGAGGCAGAAGCAGAAGAATCACTTAAACCCAGGAGGGAGAGGTTGTAGTGAGCCGAGATAGCTCCACTGCACTCCAGTCTGGGCAAGAGAGCGAGACACCATCTCAAAATAAACAAATAAACAAATAAATAAATAAATAAATGAATAAATAAAGGGATATTGAGTCATTTTTCTTATTTTTATGGCCAATTGCTAACAAATTTATTTTGAGCTTTCTATCTAGGAAGTATTACATTCATACTCCTTAATAATTGTGATTCTTCTAAAAAAATGGTGCTATGTAAGCACAGAAATCTGGAATTGGGGCTGAAAACTATCAAAATTATATCCATGCTTTTTCTAATAGAATGAAAACAGAACTTTGTAAATAATTCAATTTAAGGCCAAGGAGTCAAAACTAAGTGTAAGGAGACATCAATTTAGAGTTTTCAGTTGCAGTTTCCTTACCTGTCAAACGGTGATAGCAATATTTAGCTCTCCTACCTACTTACTGAGTTGGTAGATGAGAAGGTTCTATGAAAGCCAGAAATGGTCTCTAAGGAATACTGATTGTGCTGTGTCTCATCACCCTGCTAGAGCCTTCACCTGGACCATGCTACATCATTCTTTGTCACTTCTGTTATTTACAATAAGTAAGAGATGAAATCTTTGACAAGATTTCACTTTTGGCCTAAGTGTCTATATAGGATTACAAAAATTTTCCAAAGACAATAAAAATATTCTTCAAAAAAAAATCCGTAGAATTTCATTAAATTAAGATTAAAATCTCATTGTAGAATCTGAGAAAACGAAAAATTATGCCAAGAGCGGACTGCCTAGATTTTAAAATAATAGTGAAAAACTTAAATATCTGACAGGTAACTTATTTTTCCATCATGCCCTGTCTTGCTCCAAAAAGAAACATACCATCTTCCTGTGAAAGAGTTAAATAAATCAGGGTATATACAAAGTTATCCATCAGTGCCTGCCGACTGGGAGGACGCTGTGTACCTAGTATAGTTCTAAGCATAAGAAATACAGTAATCAATTAAGACTCATAGAATTTACATTCTGTTAAGGAAAAAAAAAGAACCCAATAAACAATCTGTATGTTGTCAAACCACTATGCAGCCATCTTTCATGATGGCATATACTGGCATATAAAAATGGCCTGTATGATACTAATTTAATATTTTATCTCTATGGAAAAAAACGCATTCTAAGAACCAAGCAATTCCCGTATATACTTGAGAAGATTTGGACTGAGATAATGTGAGTATCTATAAATAGCCAGCTACTTTAAGTATTAGTATTTAAACTAAGCTACACTGCAGGTTCGATAAGCTGTTACATCTTTTGAAAGGCAATCAATAAAATATTCAACCAATGAAATAATCAAGAAATATTACTTTGGAAATGCAACCAATTTCAATATTGGGGCTCTACTGTCAAATGATTAGTATAGACAAAAAAAAGTACATACGAGTTTCAGAAAAGAGATACTGTGGTTTGAGGTCATCAACAGACTTAAAAGAGAAAGCACCACTTCCTCCACCAGCACCACCATCATCACCACCACCACCATCACCACCACCATCGCCATCTCATCACCACCACCACTGCCACCAGCCCACCAGCATCATTACCAGTACCATCATCATCACGACCACCACAACCACTAACATCATCAAAATAGACTTCAGTTGAAGTTACAAGCATGCCTGGCATCTCCAAAGCACAGAAAAGAGTTAGTAAAATCAGGTTAGCCTGGCTAAGCCCTCCACCTCTGCTGCATACTTGCTGTGTAACATGGACAAGTTACTTGACCTCTCTGAGCTGTGGTTTCCCTATCTGTGAAATTATAGGGTACATAATGCCTGTTTGGTACATTGTAAAGATTTACACAAAACCACACATATAAGGTCTTGTCTTGGCTCACAATGAGCAGTCAATAAACTGTAGTTACTATTATTGAAGCAGAAAGGGTAAGACTGAATCTTGATCATCTCTACAACCAAGGTTGGCCAGAGGGAATCCCAGTGAGGGAGAGGAGAAAAAGGAAAACTTCATGGGGCTCAAGGAAGGAGGCTGATAAAAGGTGCAGGGCAGGTTAGAGAATGAGGCCTGAGAACAGAGCAGAAATCAGTTGGCTTTCTGCTATCAAGAATGCTTTTTCATAAAATAAAAAGGAAAAAAGTCCAATTATGAGAGAGGAGCTGGAATCAGTGGGCAGAGAGCAACAACTAGTGAAGCAAGAAGGTCTGTAGTTATCCCCAAGAGAGGAGCTGATTATTGCACTAAATCCTGACAGAAAACAGAAAGGCAGGAGGTAGAGTAGTCAGGATGGGAAGGAGGAAAAGGATCACCCCCAACCCCAGAGGGAGGGTACAAGGGATGGGCCACAGAGGCATTTTGAAACAGGCAGGAAGACAAGCACAACCCCCCAGCAGCCTGAGGCTTCTTGGTATAAAAGCCAATGTCTAAACCTTTGGATCAAAAAAGTGGATATCATATTATTACATGGACTTATCTTTTCTGTAATGTAAGCGGCCAGCTGAAATGCCACAATACGTGTAAGAAGTTGGAGGAAGTGTCTAAGAAGTGAGTTTCAAGGCTGCAGAAGTTAGAGAGGCTACAGTGTCTACAATCACTGCTGAGGGGAAGAGTTTAAGAAAACGAGGCTTGGCTTTTTTGTCCAACCTGAAGTTAATATACTCAAAGTCTGAGTGTTTTTAAAATACATCCAAGTAAAACTGTTTTAATGGAATGTCAGTTG